TGAGGGTCCCCGTTCTTCTCTAAGCTATTTTTTGGATTTTGCTCTGCTGTGTGTCGACTCCGTGTTCACGGTGGGTGTTTGCGGAGAAACATGACACCGAGTCCGCTTGTGTAATGTCGGCCGCACTAAAGCACACTCAAAAAATGGTGGCGACAGTGGAGCCTGATCGTAAAATGGCGGACACAACAGCGCGCCGTTATGTCACAGCTGATCGTCATGAGTCAAGTCAAGTCACAGTTGATCATCATGGGTCAGGTCAAGTCACAGCTGATTTTCATGAGTCTGGTCAAGTCACAACTGATCGTCATGAGTCAAGTCTAGTCACAGTTAACTATAGAGGCCGTTTGCGAACTCCCTGCTTGTCCTGTCACGGCTATGGAGACCGTCTGTGAACTCTCGTCCCGTCCTGTCATGGCTATGGAGACCGTCGGTGAACCCTCTGCCGGTCCTGTCACGGCTAAGGAGGGCCGTCTGTGAATCCTCGTCCTGCCCTGTCACAGCTATAGAGGCCGTTTGCGAACTCCCTTCACCTAAGAATCTTGAAAAATGTTGAATGGTTTTCACAAAAATATTAAGCAGCACAGCTGTTTTCAACTGGTAATAAGACTGATGAGACATTTTTTGAGCACCAAACCAGCATATGCTGGAGTCATGGCTGCTGGAAATTCAGCTTTGCCATTACTTTGCCACAGAAATAAATTGCATTTAAAAAAATAATAAAATTAAAATTAAAATAGGAAATGGTTATTTTAAATTGTAAAAATATGAGCATAAAATACTTACTTTAAAAACATTTAAAATCTTACCGACCACAATCTTTTGAACAGTAGTCTATACATTTACCTCAGGCATAATGGTAGATATTTTTCATTATTTTTGGAACCTTAACACTTATACACCCTCATATTCATGACTTTTAATGAAATATTATTTTTGACATAGGTTTCCACTGTCAAAAACATATGAAAGGGACATGGAAACATTCAAACTTTGAATGACCTGTCCTGTACTAGCACTATACAGTGAAATGTATGCAAGTCTCGGAAGTGGAAGTCAAATCTTTCTTCTGAAGTATTTCTGTGCTTAAAGCTCCTGTATCTGTCATTTGTATCTGTGTGAAATAAAGAACGGGAGATGAAACTGAATAATACTGCAGACACATGCTCTTATTATGAATGTTCTCGATCCTTCTCTTCATTTCCCAAGATAACGTTCAGACGTAACTGAATAATGCATGCAAATATCACAAAGATATTAACTAGTGCCACTAAACAATAGACATCATATTTCAGTCGCCATCAGGAGTCTCTTAAGCCAAGCTGCTAAAACATTTTCATCACGCATGCAACGCAGTTCAATCTAGATGTCTCACATATTGTTTAACTCAAGAATAACAAACCATGAATTTGTCATGTGATTTACCTTTTTCATTGTCTAGGACAATGAAAACGGAAATATCTATTTCCACTTCGCCTCTATCCAGATGAATTGTGTCTCGTTTTTTTTCAGATAAGCACAATTGATGGGTCCACCTGAATATAGCAGAGTTGTTAAATGAGAAACATAAATCTGTGTGCCAGTGTGCAGAATGCTCTTCATTGTTATCATGTCTCTTCCTCCCATTATTGATTGCCATAATGAATACTTGGATTCCGGCTTACTTTTATTACACCAATGCCAAATTTTGTCCTATGAATAAAACCAGCCAACTCCATTAAGAAATCGATGGCAGGTTCACTTGATATCGTCATTAGCAAGCTTTTATCATAACGGCAAGGAGATAAAGTATGACACCATAGTTGTCTTTCATCAAGTTCAATATCATAAGAAACATTTCTTAGAATTTCAAGAATTAATCATTTTAACTACCATGAGAAACGTATTAAACTCAGTACAGCCCACGCAAAGATGATAAAGCATACACATCAGAGATATAATAAAGATGCTTTTGGATGGTTGAAAAACTGTTGAACTGGTTTAATTTCAGGTAGGGCAAGTGGCAAGATGCCTCCCTGGGCAAGATGATATTTATCTCGACCATAGATGGCACAAAATCTCATCTCGGCACATTTGATGAATATCTACGCTATTTTTAATTTTATCATTTCATGTGAATATTGACATTTGTGACATTTAATCAGTTGAAACAGTTTTGAGGTTAATTGATCTAATTTTGTGTCTCTGGAAAATAGTGATCTATGACATTGTATTATGTTGAATATCACAGTTTTGTTGTGTCTATTTGCTGGATTTATGGACGTGAATATTTTTAAATTTGTGGCATAAAAATTAAAGCTTTAATTTAAAGTAAAAAAGATCAAATTAGACTCTTGGAGTAAGATGAATTGTCACAGAAGTGGCATGTGTTACTAGTGTTATTATATTTAAATTCAATACTTATTGTAATTCATGGGGATATTATTCAGTATTTCCATGAATTAGATGTGCATTTTAAACGTCTTCGCTTTTCATTTAAATATACAGGCTAATTGAGTGAAATTGTTCAATTTGCATTTATAGTGTTGCTATTATGACACATCTTCAATTAAAATGTGGGCAAGCAAATATGTAAATATTATTGGGCCCTTTGAATAATTGTACATTTTGTGCAAATTGTTCAATTTATTTCCGGTAATAACACATTGGCTGATGCATCATCATCATCATCATGCACATGTTAAAAATAAATGCCTATTGTTCTTAAAGGAACACTCCACTATTTTTGAAAATAGGCTCATTTTTCAACTCCCCTAGAGTTAAACAGTTGAGTTTTACCGTTTTCGAATCCATTCAGCCGATCTCCGGGTCATAGTGATCTATGACATTGTATTATGTTGAATATCACAGTTTTGTTGTGTCTATTTGCTGGATTTATGGACGTGAATATTTTTAAATTTGTGGCATAAAAATTAAAGCTTTAATTTAAAGTAAAAAAGATCAAATTAGACTCTTGGAGTAAGATGAATTGTCACAGAAGTGGCATGTGTTACTAGTGTTATTATATTTAAATTCAATACTTATTGTAATTCATGGGGATATTATTCAGTATTTCCATGAATTAGATGTGCATTTTAAACGTCTTCGCTTTTCATTTAAATATACAGGCTAATTGAGTGAAATTGTTCAATTTGCATTTATAGTGTTGCTATTATGACACATCTTCAATTAAAATGTGGGCAAGCAAATATGTAAATATTATTGGGCCCTTTGAATAATTGTACATTTTGTGCAAATTGTTCAATTTATTTCCGGTAATAACACATTGGCTGATGCATCATCATCATCATCATGCACATGTTAAAAATAAATGCCTATTGTTCTTAAAGGAACACTCCACTATTTTTGAAAATAGGCTCATTTTCCAACTCCCCTAGAGTTAAACAGTTGAGTTTTACCGTTTTCGAATCCATTCAGCCGATCTCCGGGTCTGGCGGTAGCACTTTTAGCTGTAGCTTAGCATAGATCATTGAATCTGATTAGACCATTAGCATCTCGCTCAAAAATGACCAAAGAGTTTCTATATTTTTCCTATTTAAAATTGGACTCTTCTGTAGTTACATCGTGTACTAAGACCGACGGAAAAAAAAGTTTTCGATTTTGAAAAAGATGCTAACGGTCTAATCAGATTCAATTATCTATGCTAAGCTACAGCTAAAAGTGCTACCGCCAGACCCGGAGATCGGCTGAATGGATTCGAAAACGGTAAAACTCAGCTGTTTAACTCTAGGGGAGTTGGAAAATGAGCCTATTTTCAAAAATAGTGGAGTGTTCCTTTAAGGGGGCATCTTCCCCTATAGTCCTTTTACAATATGCAACATGCTATACATAGAGTAATCAGTGCTGCCATTACAAAATTGTTTGTGGATGCAAGGTTCTGAACCTGTTCATAAAACATTCACATGTAAGAATATTTCTGAGTTACAGAAACTAACCACCAAAACACACACATTCTGCAGATGTAACTGTGTATTCAACGGAAGTACATTAAACCCATGTAAATGATCAAGAATCATTGTAATTCAAGAAATGTACCCATGGGAAATAGGAAATGAAGGAGCTTTCCACTCAGCATGGAATCGTGCCTTAATTTGGAATTGGCTTTGTTACCTCGTTAAAAGGTTTTAAAGGATTTTACCCTGATAATGTCACCCTAGTTTAAGACTTATTGTCTTAAACACAAACCTGTACAAAAAATTGTGGGAATTATGTACAGCATCAATGCCACATGCATGTCGGAATAAATTAGACATGGAAAGGTTTTGTAATGGCCACCCAGAACATGTATCGGTGGAAATGTATTCACTACAGTCTTTGCATGCAGGTTTAAAACAGCTTTGAATTATAACTGTTAACACTGATAGCAAGAGTGAATATTATCCTTTCTGATTTCACTGCTGCCAACATTGAACCCTGAACCCCTCAACTTTAACTTACCGATTCATATCTCAAACTGTCCCGCTTCTGACACACCTGTCCAAGTACAAAGCAGGAAATGTCACTCAAACCAAAAGCTAGAATTTAATGAAGTGAAGTTTAGAGAGAAACAGGAATCCTGTTTGAAATGGAAATAAAATGTCTTTATTTTATATTGATTTGCTTTTTATATAAAAAGTAATTACATTTAATACATTTTTTTCCAAAATACAAGCAGCCAAACGACATATAAATCAAATACAAAATTATAAAATCTGTTGTATCTTAGTAGCGTCTCTTCTGAAAGTAACCTGTAACATGATTTAATTCATAATCTCTAAAATTCCCATGTAACAGCAAGTTTGATTTCCTCCGGTATCCATGACATGACAAGGATTTGTGACCTATACGTGATATCTTGTCCTAGGTCTATTGTCTAACAGTGATGAAGTCAATTTTGTCAGCCTTAATTTGCTTGATGATGCCGGTGTAGTTGTATTGCTGAGCTCAAATGTAGCTTTAAGCAGGCAAAGTAGCAGAAAAGTAGTATTTTTTTTTACACAGCCTTCTTTCAAACTACCAGACTGTAGTTTAATGACCATCAAAACGACTTCAGCTCTGCAAGAATGTTGTCAAGCCGTAGACCAGATTGCACTCTGTCAATAATTAAATTCAGTGCTGAGCTATCCCAGCATGCCACATGGTTGGGGTTCACAAACATGGTTTATAATTGCAGCATTTTTGGGAGGTGGAAATGAAATATCACATCATGAAGCAAAAGTAAACAACACTGGATAGATTTAAACGCATATCTTCAATGAGAACTGACTGAAGTCAAGTGGTTGACTTGTGTAGCCCTATGTTGTGGAAGAAAGCGGTGGGGGGGAAATAAAAAAGAAAATGTTACATGAATATACCAAAAACTCTTATAATGGCACAAGTATGGCATTTCTAGCATAATTAAATATGATAAATGAGGTTAATACTATAACGGAAATGAAAACTTTCACAGTGTAATGTGAAGTAAACACTAGAAAGAAAAAAGGCAAAGCTGTCATGATGCCCAAAGGCAATGCACTTTAAACTTAGGAAGAAATAAACACACAAATAAAACAAAATTCAACTATTGTAGTTTTGTTAACTGTGCACAATGTGCAAATGAGCAGTTGTGTATCACAAGTGCAGTTCAACAAAAATGCAAAAAAATTAAACGGAAAAGTATGACTTCAAATATTGCAACAGACATGAAGGCGCAATGCTGATGGTGCCAAGAAACCAAATATAAACAAGAAATCTGGAACCTGATAGGAAATAGAAAATTTTGTGTTTTGCTTGTGTTTTATACATTTTGTACATTTAAGTAAAAAAAGAGTACAAAGTGTAGTCAGGCTATGCGGCGGTTTCTCGAATCGTCCCCTCAAGTTTCAAGTTCTTTGGGAGTAGCTCTCTCCTTTCGTCAATGTTGATGACTGGTTTGCGACAGTTCTGACCATCGAGGTACATCTTCGCGTACATCGGATTGGAGTAGTTCATTGGCTGTTTGGAGAGAAAATTGTGGAAAATTGACATTCATACTCCCTTTAAAAAAATGGCAGAATGGCATATTAAAGGAAAACTTACATATAAATAAATGAATTCAAATGAATTGTTTAATAATAAATAATAATTGATTAAATAAATCATAAAAATACTACAAAAACGAAATTAATTGAAAACAAAGTTCTCAAAAAGGTTCAAGGAGTCGGACTGCGGCAGGAATCAAATGTGGTTTCTGTATCATCATTTGGATTGGTGCTATTTAATCATGCTTATAGTGACATGCTGATGTCAGCAAAGGATGATAAATATTTCGTAACTGTCACTCACAACCCCATCAACCTCAGCTCCTGCATAAATCAACCACAAAAAAATGAGAAACATAAAAAAACGCAGCAGAAGTTGAGCCGTAAAGCCATGCACATACTATCACGGCGACACGCTTTGACACATTCATGCGAACCGCACACGGCACGTGCATGCAAAAATATAATTGAGAATGACTTTGTTACACGTGACACTTAAGTCAAAAAATTGAGACAAAGGAGCCCAAGGTGATCACCTGTCCAGGTATTACTTCCTTAGGGACAGAGTGAATATTCAGCGTGCAAGGGTCACTGGATTTTACACACCAGCCCTGGAACACACACAGTTGCCCCAGCATGCAGTCGACATTTAGAATGTCATTGTCACTAAACAACATCAATGTAAACACTGCTATTAAGACAGATTTAGACAGAAACACGTACATAGCATGAAACAAACAGTCAGTAGAAAGCAGTATAGCATTATAGCATTGCTTTTAAGAGGCATGAGACTTTAGAAACAGATGTCAGAGTTATTTCTGTGCAAGGGTAAATCAAATTAATGTTTGCAGCTTTAATGAGGCAAATTCTCAAGGTAAAAGCAACCGCAGGAACAGTGAATATTTTTCATTGGGTGGGAGGATTCAGGCAAAAGATAAAAGCCCTGGTGTAAAGCTATAGGTAATATTACATATTTACACTTGTCATTTATTCAACAGATATTTTACAGGAGAGAACAGAAACATGTTCTTTCTGGATCTACCACATTGATATTTATGGATCTACATCATCAACCTCAGAGATTTCTTGTATTAAGGGTGTTAAAAAATGGCAAACACAAACCTTGTGGGGATCAAGTGTGAAATTTGGTTTGAGAAGGCTTCCTGCATCTGCGGGGTTGTCATGGTCCACCTCATACATGTTGTAGGATGGATTGCCTATCTCCACATTAATGCCTCCATTAGTTATGGGCTGCCGTTGTACACGTTTCCCCCTGCGACAGAGAAGCACTTCAAATGGCTGCAGATGTCTGTTTTTTTTATGTGCTGTGCATTTTTGAACATGCATTCAAAATACAAAGTGGCTTATTACTAGGGATGTCAAATTAAGATGATTACAATGACACTCAAAGGCACATCAGGCTAAAAAATAGCAAGGCGCGATGCAACAGAAAAAAATGCATCTGTCTGAATGCGTATATATCCAGCATTTATTTATTTTTTGTCTATTTTGTCCATTTAATAATTTCGTCTGCCATAATAATATAATGTATGCAATGTTCTTGACTACCATAGAGCTAAATGAAAAGATTCATTGTTAAATAAAAAAATAAAAAGGAAAAAAAAATTCAATGAATTAAAAAAATGTTGTCATTAACAAATTAACATAAAAGTATGATGTATCAAATACACTAAATTAAATAAATCAATACTACAGATATAGTATTGATTATATATTTTATGTAATACACACACACACACACACATATATATATATATAAAATTGTTATACACATTATATATATATATATATATATATATATATATATTTAAAAAAACTAAAAAGGTTTTTATAACTCATATTTCATGTCAGATTTTACAGGGCTAATACAATTACAAATTAATAGATTGACAGCCCTTTAACGCTGTAAATTGTTGCAACAAAAAAAGTACCTTTGTCGTCTTCTGCAGATAAAGACACCTGCAACCACTGTAGTAATCAGAATGACCAGCAGGACCAACGGCACAATGATAGCTATACTTCCTGTTTCACACAAGAAAAAGCCAGAAGCAAATGCCACTATTAAGTCTATTTCCCCAGGTGTCTATGCAGGTGGAACAGGAAATTATTAGATACTCCATCAAAGCAAAATTAAATAAACACTACTGCAGCTGAAAAGATATTAAACCAATATTTAACACGAAGCCCAGATGTATATTCAGATGTGTCGTTTGACTGATGAAATAACGGATCTTTTCATTTTAATAATTCAAGGACTGAATCCTTATTGAATTAGTAGAGGAGAGCTCTTTATAAAGCTTGAAAGCTCTCTTCATTGCTCACCTCCAGCTGTGTTATCGGAGCGGCTGCTCTTGGGGGCCGGCCTCTCGCACTGCGTCCCCGACCAATTAGCTGAGCATCTGATTTAAAACAACAGTCAAAACAAACAGAAGGCAAGTCAGAAAAGAGATCAAACAGCTGACAGCTTAAACAGACACAGGCCTAAAATCTAGGAATAGTTCACCCAATAATACAATTATGTCCTCATTTACGCACACAAAGCCTTTATATATATATACATTATATACATTAAACTGCACACATTAAAACTGTACACTATTTAACAAACCAAGTGCGGTCACCTTTTCTAATTGTTTGACTGTATATTAATTCCTCCCTAAGCTGAGACTGTACAGGATGTTAGACAAATAAAACAGACAAAAACTACACAAATCCCAAACAAATACAGAAGACAGAATCTTGAAGGTGTAGAAAGATGCTCAGTATGGGATGCGTGTTCTCTAGGATGGTGCTGTAGGATCATGGGAAGTGGACAGTGGGGAAGTGGGCAGGGTAAATCAACTGGATGGATGGAGTCTGGTGGAGATGAGGAATCTAAATCAGGTGAACAGTGGGACCTACTTGCATCGAGGTTTGTTAAGGGCAGTTATTGTGCATTTTCCTTCATTCTGACAGTAGTAATCGCAGGGATTGGCCAGCTCATCACAACGCTGGTTCTTGAACCCTGCCGTGCAGCTGCAAGACATCGCAGTGAGGTGAGCACAGTAAGAAGTGAAATAAGTGTGAAGAACTGAGAAGAAATGTGCATGATCTGTAGAGGAGCAGCAAGTGTCTTGCTTATAGTTTCAGGATCCTTCATGTTTTATGACTATGAAATTAAATTCACTCCAGGGATTCTAGTATTCAGGGTTCAACACTTTTTCACCCATGACTTTTCAATGATCTGTTCATGTTTACTGTAAAGGATTTTTTTTTTTTTTAGAAATATTTTTTTTTCATTTTACAAAGATTGCTGGCCAGAACCCCCTGAAAGAAGAGATTTCTTATCTCAATGGGACCTTCCTGGAAAAATAAAGGATAAATAAAATAAATAGACTGATGTTATCACACTTTCTCTATATATGAGCAAGGAGCTGAGCATATTCACTAAAGACATTTCCATGACTTTCTAGTATTTTAATAATTTCCATGACTGTATAATGACTCAAAATTCCCTGATCCTTCCAGATTTTTCAGAACTGTGAGACCCCTAATGATTCAGGAGTTTCAGATCATGGGGCTGCAGTCTGAAATCTTGTTGACTGCTGCTTTCTTATAAAACAATCCAAACTGTCAGAGTATGTATAACACATCCAGTTGCATTTTATTTTGTGATTTCACTGGAACGGAGAGTGAGCCGTAGAAAAGCGATACAGAAGTGAAGTCTGTGCCTGAGCCAATCTCAGGTTTTGATGCTGAATGTTGAGTTAATTGCAGATATCTAGCGGGGAAAGCGATAAAATTGTAAACGTGTTGTGAATTTTCAAGTTGGCAGAAACAATACCTTGTAAAAGAAAGAAATATATCTAAGTCAAAATGGTCTTTAAAATAATGCTATTTTGTTCAGTGTAGAGTGTAGACCCCAATAAATTGTTAGAGAGAAATGTTAATGTTAATGATTTCCTATACTCTGCGCCTCCTGACCATCTTCTCCATATTATTTCTCATAAAATAATTTTGTTTTATATGTAGGCAGATGACTTAATTGGTGATCTGTTTGCATTCTGGAGAATATTCTGCTTTGGAACATGCTTTGTTTTGTTTCCTTCTTGTCAAGTTGTCTGAGCATCTTGAAAGTAAATAACTGTGCTTTGAAGGAAATAACTTTGCCTTCCCAAGAATATATGACTCTAGGCTTTGATAAGGAATTCATTTACATTATATTCATTTCAGGTCAACTATCAGGACTTCTTGGCAGATACAGATCCATCATTCCATACATTTCCTGTGACTCAGAGGCAGTGAATGAAACACATTATCGGGACCTCACAATAAGAAAAAAGCCAAGAGATAATTTGCATAGAAATCGATTCCATTCTTTCGATTATGCCAGTCATTGCCACAAATGCCATATAAACTGTACAGAACATTTGACGATTTTCAAAACAACCATTTACAGCCTGTTTAAGTTTGGAGACTGAATACAACTGGTGATAATTTAATGCTTGCTAACCACCACGCTTCAGAAAGCATCCGTTATACATGCCTTCTGTCACAATCTGTGTTTGCAGCTAATAAAATCTGATGGGAAGGAAAAGATTGATAACTGTAAACATCTTGCATAGGACAAAATGGTCAGGAGGTGCAAACAGTATGTGAAATCATCAACAAGAAACAGTTAATCAAATAATTGTTAATCATTAACAATTAATAAAGAAAACAGGAACTTATGACCCACAGAGATTCTTTAAAGCAGGGCTTAACAGTATGGGCTTTTCACTGGCATTTGCAATTAAAAATTATTGTGGAAAATTATGAGTGCACAGAAGTGCATAACATCCCACAATCAATTCGCAACTCGTTGATTATAATGGGAGTGATTTAGTTTTCCCATTAGGCTGCAGCTTATTCAGTGTATATTATATGCTATATGCAACACTGTAAATCACTGCTTTTCAGAGCTAACTAGATGTTTATAATTTATTTGATGAATTCTGAAGTAATTGTGAGGGACACATGAACATTTTTTCTACTGGTCATATCTGACAGCTTTGTGGCCTTACTACCTCTATTATCAACCTCCTAAACACATGGTGCTGTGCAAGGGCCCCTGCCTTCACCTGTTCCTGATCTTGCAATGGAAAAGCAAATTTATTCTTGACAAAACAAATTGTCAGGGTTTCTAAATGTATCCATTCCTGCCTGCCAAACCAAACAAAGCAGGACTCCAGCTGTTCTCAGGATGGTGCCCCAATATACACAAGTCCACAGGGTGGACATCCTATCAGTAGGTCCTGCACCGTGTGAGCCTAACCTCATCTTTATAAATGCAAAGCCCCCCTAAAAAACTAAAAACTGCTGCACCTGACAACAAAACATCATGTCCAGTGATGACAGCTCAAAAGCAATTCATGATTTTTCTGTATTAATCTAATTTCCGACACAAAGAGGACCTTTTATGTGATTTGTGCAAATGTTTCCTCACACTCGAGATATGAGTTAAAGCTCTGCCCCAATATACACAAGTCCACAGGGTGGACATCCTATCAGTAGGTCCTGCACCGTGTGAGCCTAACCTCATCTTTATAAATGCAAAGCCCCCCTAAAAAACTAAAAACTGCTGCACCTGACAACAAAACATCATGTCCAGTGATGACAGCTCAAAAGCAATTCATGATTTTTCTGTATTAATCTAATTTCCGACACAAAGAGGACCTTTTATGTGATTTGTGCAAATGTTTCCTCACACTCGAGATATGAGTTAAAGCTCTGACACAAATCAACAGACTTTATGCATTCAGCAATTTCAGCTATGTTTAGTAATTCTGATTATTAATTAAAAAAATTATACACAATTATACAATACTGTTCATAACTTTGGGGTCAGTATTTTTTTTATTCAGCTTGAACACAATAAATTGATCATAAGTGACATAATCTTATGTAACATTATGAATGTCTTCACTATTTCAAATAAATGCTGTTCTTGTCAACTTTCTAATCATCAAAGATTCGCTTCGGGGTCCTGATCACCCTGTCGGGGGTTATTCTGTGAAAACAACGGCTGGATGTATATTATCCCTTACGTAATATGTCACAATATTACGGTTTTACTGTATTTCTGATCAAATAAATGCAGTTTTGGTGAGCAAATAAGACATCTTTCAGATAAAAAAATCTGACCCCAAACTTTCAAACAGTAGTGTATTTAGTCGGTCTGATGATTAAATCCACAAATTATATACAAATACACTGAACCGAGCAATATTAACAATAAAAAAATACAAAAATAAATAAAGCATAATGAAGAAATAGCTTTGAGGCTTGATGTAATTTGATTTTTAACCAAATGTAGGCTTTTAGGCACACAAGAGCTTGGCCTAATTATTCCTCAGTGCTTTTTAAGTCTGTCAAACTAAGTGCCAGTGTAGAGCCCCCCACTGAGGTAATTTTGGGCCCCATTGATGGGAAACTTCTGAGTCTCTGACATCTATACAACTTTTCTAAATGAATGGCAAGGCTTCCAAGGTTATGCGCCATGTGCGTCTAATAGCTGAGAATTGGAATGTGGACAAAAGGAGGCACTTAGTTATTCTTACTGGCAGAAGGGTAGGCTGGTGTCGGGGTCCAGATGACAGGTGCCTCCGTTATAGCAGTAGCCATCACACAACTGGCAGCTAGAGGCGATTCGACCGCTGGTACAGCTGGCAGAACGACAACAATTGGATGAGCTAAAAATGAGTGCTGCATAAACCGAGGACTCATTTCAGTGTGAACTTAAATAATAAATTAAATCAATTAGGCTTTGTATCATTATGAGCAACTTGAATGTCACTGCAGTTGCTGGAACTTTATTACCCTGAATAGAATTATAATGGCACAACATCAATTCTGTACTTAATTTGCTTTAGATGAGGAAATCATCTAAGGAATCGTGTAATTCCTACAGTATGCCAATACAATCACCAAATGGAACTGTAAAGATAATAATGTCTCGGTTACGTATGGTAACCCTCGTTCCCTGAAGGAGGGAAAGGAGACGTCACGTCGGATGACCGACGAAATTGGGATCTCGCTTAGAGAGACCAATCTACTTCGAGTGTAAACTAAACGAGCCAATGCACATTGGCATGCGATTATTGCATCCAGCTGCCGCTGATCACAGCGTGAGTATAAGTAGGCAGCAGATGCAGCGCATATTCAGGTTTTCGCTGAGGAGCCGAGCCGGTGACCCGGCCGCTCAGCGGTGGTACAGGAGCTGTGGCGACCGGACGTGATCCGACGTGACGTCGAGAGTGACCGACTGAAAGGGAACTGTATTTAAACATGTTTGCAATATTAAAATTCATCACATCATTTTCAGAGATATTAAAAAACAACAACAACTAACTTGCAAGCCACATCTCCTGTATCTCCATTGATGATACATGGTGCTCCGTGGCACCGCAGGCACTTGTCGACATCACACTTGACCCCTTCATAGCGAGGCGGGCACACGCATTCAACGTGTCCTGAGCTGGACAGTGTGCAGGCCTGGGAATGGACGCAGTGGTGATGACAGATATCTGTCAGGGAAAAAGAAAAAGAAAAAGAAAAAAAACACAAGATATGTCCCTAATTAAGATATGATGGCACATTTCTTTCATATTATGCTCAAGTTTAATTAGAATTTTACAAAGCTTTAATGAGACTTAATTATCCGCATCAAATATCTACTGGTACTAAGATGAAAATGTGTCACCCCTTGGGTGCACAGCACTGCAAATGCATTACGGGTGCACAGATTAAATTGTTTTGCAACAAATTATAATAACAAAGACTTCACAACGGCAAATCTTTTATCAGCAAAGCACAGAAACACCTCAAGGTTGTTACAGCAGCATTTAGAAAACCTCTTTGGGCACAGATCGTTCAAATACTAGCAAATGCCCTTTCTAGTCAAATACAGTATTTGCTTTCATTGGGCTTTTTTTGTTGCTGTTACCAGCTGTGAAGAGAAAACTCAACAATTGTTCCATTAGCCACAACTTTAGTGACTGGTCTTCTATGTAAAAAATACAACAAACCCCCACCACAAAAATAACCTTCTCTGGAGATCGTATCATTTTCTCCACATTTCTTTCTGTCTGTTCCACCTGGTACTTGAATGATTTGAACAAGCAATATGGATTATGATGATACTGAATTAAAAGGGCACAGCGGTGGATGTAATTACCTGCCATGAGAATCACTGACTTATAGAATTAAAATGCAGTTGCTGACCATTTCTGCTGGGTACAAGCAATCTCTTACAATACTTACGATAAAGACAGCGGTCACCCGTGTACTCTGCCAAGCAGCGACACACTGGCTGGTTTCCAGGGCTTACGTCACATGTGCCTCCATTCAGACAGTGATTATCACAGACCCGCCTCTCACAGTTAGAGCCAGTGAAGCCTGTCACGCAGCGGCAAGTAGGTTTCCCTACGATTGGAGTAGACAAATGTATCCATGTGAATGCCTTATTCATGTTTTGTCCTTTTGGTTTTACAGGCCATAAGAAATTTATCATTTTATAGTAGGCAATTTATGCGTAGAGCTGTACTGGAGTCCATAAGAACCATAAGTTGACTCCTGATGTGAAGCTGTTGGAAAACAGCATTAACACCAACCAAATAACCCAAGCTCTGCTGTAAAACTAACTTGAACCAAAAGCTTTGGTGTAAAAGTGCCCTGAGAATCAAAAAACAATGTAAATTAATGGGGTCATACAATTATGGTGAGCGTGTGTATTGCAAGGGAACTTCATAGCATGTTAAGGCCACGACATATTTCTCTTAGGAATATGCTTAGGGAATTACATTTTCTCGTAACCACGTTTTCAGATGTTGAAAGAACAGCATTCTTTTTTTGTGGTCATGAGTTTAATACGTAAACAAACCTGTGTGACCTGGGATTATCTGAAATGGAGATAATGGAAGAATTGGAAGTAATAAATGGAAATCATAATTTCTAAACACTTTATTTTAAATTAAGAATGATATGAAGTCAGTTAAGGCATGGCTATATTATATTATATTTGTAATATAAAAATATACTGTTTTTGTTTCGATTCAATAAATGGTGTTAAATTGCATTTATAGTTATAAGCAAAGTGTTCACTCAGTAGCTAAACTCTTTTTAATAAAACTGCACCCCGCTCGACCATTAACAATCACCAGAGAAAATTATGAAATGTATCTAACTTCAAAGGATTCTGATGTTAAGAATAATTGCTTTCTTACATGGCTTATCAGTCAGATGATTGATTATGATAGATGAAGCTGTAATATGACACTCTTGACTAATTTTAATTGAGGCGCAGACACAAATACTCAACTGATTGTGATCAGCAATCCTTTATAAGTTTCTACATTTGGGACCAAAGTGCTCAAATGAATTTTTTATTAAAACAGATCAATTGCACATTAGCATACAAACCAAGCATCCGTACGCTGCCTTGGATAACTTTAGATTATAACTGTTATTACAAGCACACACACTGCTACACAATTTTGGGTAACACTTTATTTCGATAGTCCACTTTAGACATTCTATTAACAGTAAGTAACTTTGCAACTACATGTCAACTAGCAGTTAGTAGAGTATTAGTAGACTGTCTGCTTAATATCTTCTAACACTTTCTTTGTCAACTTATTCTACTAACCCTAAACCTACCCTAACAGTCTACTCTGAGAGTTAGTAGACATGTAGATGCAGATTAATGAGAATTAGTTGACATGTAGTTACAAAGTTACTTCTAAATTCTACTTTTAGTAGAATGTCTAAAGTGGACTATCGAAATAAAGTGTAACCCAATTTTGTTTACAGATGTCTTTAAAATACTAATTTAGAAGAACTGCCGGGCATTCAACATTTCACGGTAGTTGCATATAGCCTAGTATGCATGTAGTTTGACTACAAGTACTAAAGACCATTTCAGATACTTCATTACTCAAACTGAGGCAAACAATTCAGTCGTGTATTGAAATCTACATAAAGCTGTTTGAGAGTTTCTTACCAAGAGGTGAGCCAGTGCATGTGCCTCCGTTTAAGCAGTAATCTGTACAGTGGTTGACTTCACAACGTTCCCCAGAGAAATTAGGCCAGCAGTAACAGCGCCAGTCTCCTTTTTCATTGGCCATGCAACGTCCTCCATTCTCACAGGCAGGTCGGCACAATTCACCTTTACAATATAGAAATAAATTAACTCAAAATATTTTTTTTCATTTAATTTTCATGTTCTTTTGTACCCAACAAAGTGATACAAAAACAAAGAAAGAAAAAAAAAAACCGCAGGCATAGGAAAGAACAAAGCAAAGTGGGCAGCCCTACAGTAAAGTGAGCCTTCAGACCTGAGACAATGGGGTCAATACAAGAGCCATTGACCAAGGTCTTCCCCTCTGGACAGGTGCAGCTGGCTCCGGTTGGATTGAGCAAGCACATAAAATCACAGGTCATCCGTAGACAGGGATTGGCCACTGAATACAAAACAGATAAAGCATAAATTGAACTTGGAATTTACAATAATGTTTAGATAAATCTATGCTGAAATTTATAATAATTATAATTAAAACACTTAATAACAATAATTATTTTAATATAATTAAAATAATAAGAATATATTTTAATTACATTAAAACAATATTTTTTGTTTCTTATTTAACTCAACCCTGTTACCGCACCATTTTCCATCATTAAAAAAAAAAAAAAAAACAGCCTCTGAGAAATATAGGATTTTTTTTCCTTTTAAATGTTTATTGCTAGGAACTTATAATGAAATGAAAAAATCTTTTTTTTTGGTCCTAAATTTTAGTTGAAAACCTTGAAACCTACAAAATGAAACCGAATATAATATTAACTTTAATATTGAGGTTGAGCGTCAACACATTCTAAATGTTAGAACACCCTTCCCTCACCATTTTTAGAAAAAAAAAAAATATATATATATTTTTCCGTTTCAGGCCCTATTTTGTACCATATTTGTGGAAAGTGCCATCTAAAACATTTTCAGTTTATTTATTTAATTTCTCAAAGCCACTCATCGAACTGGAGGCTCAAAAGTTGCAGATTTGAAAGCCGTGGCTCAAAGATGCCAGCAGAATGAGGGAACATCTGTATCAGTCTTCAGTGTTTTGCTGAGGACATCAAACCTAAACTTTTAGCTTTTGCTGGCAGTGCACAAGTCTCTCCACCAGGCTAGATCTCTGACTTTAATGAGTCAGTGGGGACTGGCTCAGCTGCCCCTCACTACAAACCCACCAGAAAAGAAAGATCTTTTTGAGGTTGTGAAGCCATTAACACAACCAGATCACAAATAGCAACCAAAACTAACAGCAAAGGAGGCCAGCTTCTGAGAAGACAGTATATTAGAGAGCCGACACATGTGGTGGTCACAAATGCAATGCATGGGGAGGAAAATTAAATGGGTGTTACATAACTATTGAGGCACACTCATTTTTAAAGAGGTGAACAAAACACTAATGAAGAAACTATCTTTCAAAAACCCGGTAGAAGCAGCAAGCCTGAATCTATAAAAAAAATCTCTTAGGATCCACAAAAACAATCCCTAAAATAACTATTTCTTCACTCTCCAAGTTGTACAAAAAAAGGAAAGCACTAAATAGAAAACATTTAGGGAAAAAGTGTTCTCTTACCATCCTGCTGCTTGAAACGATGAGAGATCAGGACATTTGTTGTTTTTTCAATACCCAAGTCAAGAGGTTCAATAGGTTTTTTGCCATATTTCTGAATTTTGAAAACTTCATTTTTCAGTCCTGTTCCATAAATGTAATCCTCAAAAATATCTATTCTGTACGGCTGTGATATTCCTGTGCAGGCATGAAGTGAGGCAAAGACATTAGACAAACCTTCTAAACAATTTCAATGGTTAACGATTTCAGGCATATAAGATACTTGAACAAAGCAAAATACTATCAGATTCCCTTTTAACTGCTCTTCTCACCTTGCTTGCCATCGATTACCAACAATGGGTCTGAGCCATCGAAACGGACACTGCCAATGACAGAGAGCTCTGCATCGGCCCAATACACACGCTGGCTGAAATAATCAATCGCCAACCCTACAGATAAATGACGGGAAGAGAGTTATTTTCGTAATAATAAGACCTTGGCACAAAATGTCATGAAACTTCACAAATTTAAACATGGACACAGCCATGTTTGCAGGGTTTACACTACTGAAGCATTATACAAAAGCAACAGCAATCCATGAAAAGTAACATGTTTATCAAAATAAATGAATCTAGACATGTACGTTTCATTAATCTTAGTCATGTGAGACTGTAGCAGAACTGCAAAACGGTTTAAATAGCATCAAACTGGTATGTTTAGGTCAATGTGGTGCTAAATTGAACTTTTTATATAATTAAATAACCTTTAAGAAACCTTTGCTTCAATGTGGACATATTCAGCACAAAAGCTTCAGATCTGTGTCCTTTTGCTCTTCCTGAAATAAACTCAGCAAAAGTTTGTCCCATATTTCTCGGAGTTTGCCTTGCTTGACTCATTATATTTCCTCTCTTGATTAAAGACTTGGATGTTGCATTTTTGTTCCTTTTCTAGAGATGATGGATTCCTAAAGCTGCACTGGAGGCGTAATATTGGCCCCTATAAAGGAGGCCATGGTTAAATGTAGCGGTACTTAGTGTTTCCCTGAGGAACACGCCTGCAGGTTTACCTAAAGTCATTGCATCTAAAACATTCCCTCAAACTCGGAAATGGGAAAAGTGCTGTGATATACCGAAACAGGATATGAGACCAACAAGCTTCAACGTAAATGCATTCAGACCTTGACCTTGTTCCTTTAGAAAGAACCAAACAACCTCTCATTTATCACACTCGCAGAAAAACAGCTGAGGACTCAAAGGAAAGAGCTCATGCCCATCACACTGAGAAATACAAAAACATACCTGTGGGTCTCCTAAGGTTCTTATCCAGTAGCACTCTACGCATGGAGCCATCCATCGCACTCTCCTCTATGTGTGAGTGGTCGCCTATTACTGACCAATACATCATCCTGAAACAGGGCAAATCTTTACTTGATAAATACATATATAAAAAGTTATTATTATAAAGAATTACTATCAACAAAATTAATATCCTCAGTTAAACTACTAAACAATTGCTCAAGATAATTTTACTTCTCATACTCAGTTTTCTAGTTTGTATACAGTACAGCCAATGTAACAAATGTGCTTATTTGATAAGTGAGCTATAAGTAATTCAGAATCCTACATATTTTTTTACATTAAATTCGATTTTGAATTTCATATTTTCAATGTACATTTAGACTTTTGAAACCCACTACATGAATTTAAAAATAACCCAAATAGTATGAAAACATGCTCCTACCCTTTGACTGGATTGACAGTAATGGCGTAAGGCTCTCCTGCAATGTCAGTTATCAGACGGGTGCAGTTGGGTCCCTTGAGTTGTCCCACATTAATAGAGTATCTAAGCTTGGTCCAGTGAGCGGTGTAATAACTGAACCAGTGCATCCTAGAGTGGTCTGTCCAATAGATATTTCCAGTCACCCAGTCAGCTGATACATCTCTGGGTCTACGAAAGTCTGGGCACTGCAAAAGTCACCCAGATAACAAGGTGATTCCCATGTGGGCCAAGACATCACAGAATATTTAGGATTGTATGATAACATGTTTAGGAGAAAATTATTATGGTCAAAATTTCAGAGACCATTTTTTGGATATAGGGATAAAATACGGTTGAAGTTTGTAGAAAAAAAATATTATTTTGTTTAAATATTTAATAAAAACAAACTACTAATACTAATCACAGAGAATATCAACATATGATATACTTCTTGTCTGAAATCTCTTATACCAATAAGGAAAGATACAAAAAAAAAAAAAAAAAAAAAAACCAAAAAATCCCGGGAA